CACAGCCTTCAGATTTATTCAAATAACAGATGGGGACATTGCTGTGCAGGAAAAAAATCTCAAAAGTCGTAAATACAGGAGTAATTATTCCTTTCAAAATACGGAGAAGGTTGACTACCAACACACAGTAAGTGGCTACACCAAAATAGCCTCTCCAGTTCTCAGAGACTTCTTCAGAGTGTGTAATTTGTATGTAATACACACACACACACACACACACACGTGTGTGCGCAATAAAATTATTCAATGTTATGGAATCCAAGGTTACCTGCTGCAATAAAAATTTTATTTTGGGAACCAAAGCAACTGAGATGTTCACTTCCACATTATTGCATACAGTCACACCCTCACAGTATCTCCATTTCACATACAAACAGGACGTCCATGTAACGCATTGCCTGAACCAGGACCCCTCGGAGCATGAGCGAGGGCACTGCTATTGATTCTGCAGGGGCAAGAGGGGCCGATGGGGACTTTGCCAGACGAAACTGGGATCCTCACAGAAGGACACACATTCCAAAAGGCTCCTCCATTTCCCAAATTCACACGCAGGTCAAGAGGGAACTGGGGTGGAGACCCGTGTCTGACTGGGGCCCCAAAGAATAACAATTTCCAAAACAAAAAACGAGCAAACAAAAAGCCCGGAGGAAGGCGATGCATATGGTCCCCGGGCTTCCGTCTTCCACCCGCCGCTACACCTGGGAGCTCATCAGATGACTCGTCTGAGGCTTCCGGAATGATGATCATTGCTTCCACCTCAAATTGCACTTCCTCAAATCCCCGTGCAATTCCTGTAATTGTCAGGTACGGACACGTGGGAGTCAAATTTTCAAGACACACGGATGATGAAACTCAATGAAGTGCAGAACGAAAACAGAAAAATCTCGCCCTGATGTGTTACCAAGCCATCTCCCCACGGGAACGGGGCCGCAGGGTCTCCTCGAGGGCCGGGTGCTGTGTGCATCATCCCAGCAGGCTCCACGGCACAGCCATCAAAGGCCCTGATTGTGCCGGCTGCAGAGAGAGCACCAAGCCCCTGTGACTTCGCTGCTTTTAAGACTCTATAAGCTGTTCCTGCGACAAGCACACACCAACAGCAGCCACTCTGCTGCCTTCGGCTCAGCAGCACCCGTCACCACCTAATTGACATGCAGTAGGAAGCAGGGAGTGGGTTTCTGGCCGTTCATTTACATCTACTACACAAGTCATTCCTGCATGTTTGAAGCCACAGAATCTCTGAATATGCACTACCGAACGGAAGTGTTCTTTCTGGTTGCCATGTCCTATGGACACCTCTAAGAAGAAGAAATCCGTTAACTTGGCTATCTCAGAACCGTCATCGAAATTCTTCATGTTCAAATGTACTTTTGCATATTTTAAAAGCTGATTAAACAAAACGATTCATCAAATACATTTTTAAGTCATAGTCCTACTGGTATTATCATATATCCTGCTCTCCATATTCTAAAAAATCGTTTCTTTGACTTTATAGAAAAGTAAACGTTTTAAAAGAGGAAATATAAACATATTAATGCAGCTTTTCCATTTCTTATTGTATTACTGTACAACTAGACTTGCTTTACAGAAAAGCAATCGATGATTACTAATACCTCTCAGGACTGGTATAGACTCAGTTCTCTTTCTTAAATCTCTCAAATCTACTGTAACAGTTGTAAAAAGTGACAGTTAGTAATAAAAGATACAGTATTTAATTTCAAATTTCTTGAGGACAGGGGCCTAATGCTTTTTGCTCTTCCCACTTGCTTTACAGATGGCAGGCGTATTCCCCAACTGCTATTTTTATTTCCACAGACCAGGGGTAGGCAACGTCCGGCCCTTGGGCTGTGTAAGGCCCTCGAAACCATTTGGTCTGGCCCTGCCAAGGCATTAGGGGTGAGTTAATTAGATGTTTGGCCAAATCCAGCAGGCTACTTTTTAAGTTGATTATTTTGTGTGGCCCGAGAATGATGTTATAAATATCCAGATGGCCCTTGGCAGGAAAAAGGTTCCCACCCCTGCTCTATACTGTTCCTGTGACACTGATAAAAGGTCTGTGGATGATAAAGAGACCACATCATTTAGGAATGACGTTGTTGAAATTCATTCTATGTGGTGACGAGTGACTTTCCTTTCCTGATTCCATGCTATGTCGTGTCACATAGACAATGCAGTTTGCATTGATCAGCTATGCTCTGAGAGGGCACTGGAGATCCTGCCTAAGATGAAAGTTAAGCCATTTCACACAGAGACAAGGATACAGATAATAAAGAATCACGACATTGTCTGTCTACAGGGGTTTATGTTGGGATCTCTCTTGCCCCATTTTCAAAGAGCTAGCTGCCGCTCCTCAGACCACTGCTAAGTGAGTGTCAGGGAGCCCGGCCTATGTCCACCTTAGTTTACCAGCCTCTGTGGACATCTCTGCTTCCATCCGCGTAAACAAACGACACACCTCCCAAAGAGAACGGGGCAAGAACAGCCGGCTCAGAGCAAGGGTGAGTCCAGAGATGAAGAATTTAGGCGGAGTGGGCTCCCGACCTGTGCCCCCAGGACTCAATTCCGTTGCTGATGCACAGAGGCAGCGTAGATCCGTGGGGGGGGGGGAGAACTGTCTTCTAAAATAAACTTCATTTACTTACACAGGCATCGTCATGTTTACCATCACTGCTCCTGTGATGCTGCAAAACCGCTGTCAAAGAAATAATGGTGACACGCACTCAAGCAGGTTGGTTTGTTTTTCATTTTCCTGATAAGTGCATCATCTTGAAGGGAGGAGAGGTTATTTTGGGGAATCACATATCTCCACGAGAAAAGTTTAAAAAGTGAGACCCTGATGGAGGTTGGTAGGCAAAAGCGCAAGAACCTTTTAAGAGAAAGGGGACTAGAAAAAGCATGTCTCCTTATGTACGCACACTGGCCAATGGGGAGAGGCGCTATTAACCACCTCCCTCTGCCAGTAACTGGAGCTGTAACAAGAATATCATTTACAGCAAGGTTAACCTTGTGTTTCTCTCTGAAGCACAGCCAATCAGAAGATTTTATAAGGTATTCTAATTTTCTGAGTACTCAGCAATCCAAGTATCAATCAACTTATGACTGGTCTTCAATTCCAACTACAATGGCTATTCTTAGCAATACTTTTTCTTCCCAGCCGGGTCAGAAAATTGGCTGAAATCCTACTGCAAAATCTAAAGGCACCTTTTAAATGATTAAACACAAGTCAGCAATTTGGGAGTCTGAAAAAGCTAAATCCCGTTTAAGTGATTAATTCCACCCCTATGCCAACAGTTACTTAAAATTATTTAGAAGTCTATAATAAGCTACTAAAAAAATATGGCCTCGGGGTTGCCATATTTGTAACCACAAACTATTAACCTTGACTTTATACCATCATTAGAACAGGTTCTATTCCCCCCCTGATCAAAGTTATCCACTCCCGTGGCTTGTTTTATGACCATTACCTTGAAACCTTCCCATACTATTTCTCTAGTCCTGAATGCTCTTGAGACACAAACCCAGATTCCCAATTTCTTCTGAACTGAATTTCCCTGAAATATTTCAGGTTCAACATCACAGATGAACATGCTGCTTTCCCACACCTCCACCACCACCACCATCATCATTGGAGTCATGGGGAGACTCCATATGGAAAGACGACAGATCTCTACCCTCTTGAGAGTTAGGTGCGGCCATGAGATTGGCTGCTAACAAGGAAATGTTAGAGGGATGTTGGGTGCATCCCTTCTGGGCACAAGCCGGAAGGAGCCAGTGTGTGATCTGCCACGTTCTCTCTCCCGCCTCAACACGTGTGGCAGCATAAACCGGGCCTACAGGCCTGGGTCCTGCAGTGAGGACGGTGGCCTGGAGCAGGGCCCCCCCCCCCCCCCCCCAACTCATGATAAACATGTAGGAGCACCAGGCACACATGCGCCTCCGCTGTTGAAAGTACTGACACTGTGGAGGTGTCACCACAGCCTCCCCGGGCTCTTACCTCCAGCGGCATCAGCACCGGAGCCAGTAACCCCAGAACTACGGGCCGCTGCCCTCTTTCTCATGCCCCACGCTCAAGCATGAGTCCTGGGAATCTCACCTTCAAAATACTTCCCATTCCCCCCTCCTCCATATTCCCATGTATCTAGTTTGGCCTAGAGGCCATCTTTCTTCTGGATTATAACCCTACAGTTTCCAAATAGTTGTCGTTCTATAATCCCAAATTTTTTCCTGCTGGAAATGATCGTTCAAAATGACACCAGAACGATCCTTCTAGAGCTGCGGTTCTCAACCTGTGGGACGCGACCCCTTTGGGGGTCGAACGACCCTTTCACAGGGGTCGCCTAAGACCATCGGAAAACACATATATAATTACATATTGTTTTTGTGATTAATCACTAAGCTTTAATTCTGTTCAATTTGTAACAATGAAAATACATCCTGCATATCAGACATTTACATGACGATTCCTAACAATAGCAAAATTGCAGTTATGAAGTAGCAACGAAAATAATTTTATGGTTGGGGGTCACCACAACATGAGGAACTGTATTAAAGGGTCGCGGCAATAGGAATGTTGAGAACCGCTGTTCTAGAGACTAAATCTGATGGGGCCTTTCCCATATTTAAAGCCTTCAACATCTCCTCGGGGTTCGAATCCATGAGCCATTTGAGGAGCGGTGGTCACAGGCCCTGTGCTAGGCCTTCCAGCGGCCAAGACGAGTCATTTGTCTGCACGCCGGTCTTCAATGTATGATGTGGCCACGGAACTATTTGCAGACACTGCTGCTCAAAAGTAGTATTTTGTAAAATGTTAAAGTTTGTGAAATAATTGATTCTTAAAATAAAAACTGGAGTGGACTCAAGTTTCCTTATGAAAATGTGGTCTCTCACTCAAATTCTAAGAGGAGAGAGAGAGAGAGAGAATCATTAGCTGAGAGGACGTGCACAAGGTCCAAAGAGTGTACACTGAGCCCCTTGGGAGGCTGGTACTGACACGAGAAGCTTACCTGTTATCAGAACACACATCATTGCACCTCATCATGCACTAATTTTCACATTGGAGTTCATCAAAATCTGGGACACCAGTGGGTTGTGTTAAGCCACCATCTGTCATTTGCGTCCTGGAAGTGGGGGTGGGGGAGGAAAGCCACCAGTGTGGCCACAGGATGAAGGTCAGACTTCAGCACGTTACAGCTCTTCGGGACCTGCTCCCAGCGTGCCTTTGGCCTCCTCTCCTTTCGCCCCTCAGGGCCTCTGTTCAGTACCTTCCCATCAAGAGCAGCATCTCCCTCTTCCCAACCCTCCCCAGCTCCTCGCTCCTCAAGAACGAGCTTGGTCGTCGGTGCCTGTTTCCTGTGGGGCCTGCTCAAGAGCTCTGGGTGGTATCCGCTGGCCTTCGAATAAAGCTCTCCCATGCCTATTACTCAGTCATCATTGCCTAAAATCTGCCTACGCGGTGGGACCCTGGCATCTATTCAACTGTAGGCCAGCAAAGCGTGTGTCTGTTTACATGTATGTGTGTGCTTCTGTGCATGTGTGTCTCTGTATGTGCGGTACTTTCCTATGGCTGCCATAGTAAGTTTCCATAAACTGAGTGGCTTAAACCAACAGGAACCGGTTCTCTCACACACGGTGCTGGAGGCCCATAGTCCAAACTCGTGCCGCCAGCAGGGCTGCGCTTCCTTGAAAGACCCAGGGGAGACTCGGCCTGCCTCTCCCAGCTTCTGGTGGCTCAGGGAGACCTTGGCCTCGGGCTGGATCCCTCCAATCTCGGCCTCCTCTCTGTCTCAAATCTCCCTCCGCCTTTTTCCTCTTCGAAGGACACTTGTCATTGGATTTAGAGCCCACTTAGAGCCATCTGTGGGGGAGGGGGAGGGAGTCACCAAGCAGGTAACTTATATGCACATATGCAAAACCCACAGACACAGACAACAGTGTGGGAGGCCTGGAAGGGGCGGGGGTGGGGTGGAGGGGGTCAATGGGTCAGGTCTCCTCTCCCCATTTCACCTCCATTATGCACACAATCTGGGCTTTGACATGGAGACCTGAGGCCCACGTTGCCCAATGTTTTTACTAAAAAGATTTAACGTTGGTCCTTGCATGTGGAATTAAGAGGAACCAGGAAGACAATGTCACCAAAGACTTTCGGGGTGGTAAGAAAAAGGTAAGAGCTATTTACTCTAGGTCTTTAAAAACGACCCATTGGGTGTCATTAGGGAATTTTTAAAGCAATGGACACATGCATGTTATGAATAGTATGTTAAAGTGTGCCCATCATCCAAAAAATAACGGGGAAATGCACTTTCGGTTAAAGGAGTCCAAAGTTAAGTGCAACTTGCAAATGCTTCCTGAATTCTGAAAGGCTCTCTTACACACACACACACACACACACACACACACACACACACACACACACACACACACACGGCAGCTCAGAGAAGTATCATTTTAAAACAAATTCTTCCCTGGAGAGAACTTATTGCCAAAGCATCTGGACTGTGCTTCCAGGAGGCATTTAACAAGTTACTATCATTTCCCAGGCTCAACAGGGAGGCACTGGCTTTCAAATGAATTAAAATTTCTCCAGAAGGACACATCTCAGGCCTCCTATAGTCATTGGGGGTGAGGAGGGAAGCAAATCGAGATTAGGGACTACTCAGTCACCACTCTGGGGAATAAAGAATTGTTTTCAAATTTAATTAGCCATTTGTGTTCTTTGATCATAGCCCAAGACAGGTGTGGCTGAAGGGTGTTACAAAGCAACATAAATTCGACAAAAATAGTCAATCCAGTAGTCGAGCATTCTTTTGAATAAGTGGGCTGGCACAACAACAGTCTGGAAGAAAATAAAATTCTTATACATCATATGCAAACATTAATTCCAGGTGGATTAAAGGCTTAAATTAAAAAATTCAGAAACCTTCCTAGAATATCTAAGAGAATACATGTACAACCTAGGGGTCAGGGAGATATTTCTTAGCCAAGAGTGAAAACACAGGGAAAAGAGGCTTGCCTGTCCATGTCAAAATGGAAAACTCTGAAATGGATAAATATAATATAAATAAAGCCAACAGATAAGATAAATATAAATAAGGAAAAATATCTCTATAATATATAAATAGCATCTAGAAATTGGCAAGAATAAGTATAATAGAAAAACCAGCAAAAAAGTATAAGTTTGCAGAAGAGCAGTCTAAATACCAAACAAACATAAAAAGGGCACAAAATCACTAATAGCCAGGAAAATGCAAGTTAACATAGCAATTTTTTCTTTTTAACTTTAGAATACCCAATGTTGACACGGATTTCGAGAGACAATATTCTCCTACATCAGTGGTCGGCAAACCGCGGCTCGCGAGCCACATTCGGCTCTTTGGCCCCTTGATGAGGATTAATGAGAGAGAGAGAGAGAGAGAGAGAGAAAGAGAGAGAGAGAGAGAGGAGACTGGGGGGAAGGGCTTCTTTGCCACTAAAAGATAATCTTAAAGCCATCTAGTACTTTACTATTAGCAACTGTCACCTCAACTCTCTGATAAATACTATTTAAAGTCCTCAGGTGCCAAGTTGGTAAAGGAATACGTATTTTATTCCCCGTCAATCACAGGCCATACACAGAAAGAAAGTTAAACTAGACTTCTCTTCTCTCTGGGTTTCTTCCTCATAGCCATGACACTGACGTTGACATTTACAGAGCTATTCAACAGAAGAAATGAAATGATGTTCAAACTATCATGTTTGTTTCTCTCCAGTCTGAAAGCTACCTGTGAATCTCTATCATTATTCTCTCACCCATATTCTAAGCTTCAACAGGCTCTCAAGTTGCTGTAGTCCATCTCTTCCAAGAGAACAGGAATTCATGCACAAAACTCTAATGGCACAGCATGTAGCACTTAAGCGTTCGTTATGGGTTACATGTAAAAAAAATTAAAAATTTTTTATAGCCCAGGCTGGAGTGGTTAAGTGGGTAGAGTCTAGGCCCATGTACTGAAGGGTTGCAGGTTCGATCCCTGGCCCTGGTCAGGGCAAGTGTGGGAAGCAACCAATCGATGTGTCTCTCTCATATCTAGTCTCTCTTTCTCCCCTCTCCCTTCCCATATCCCTCCCTCTCTCCTTACTCTCTTCCACTCTCTCTAAAAATCCATGGAAAAAATATCCTTGGGTGAGGATTACAAAAAAGTTTTTTATGAACTTGTCAATTTATTTTTATTCTTTAAAACCAAAAAGTAATGACCCTGGTTTATCAGCTTAGTTTCACGTGATGCACAGGAATTGATCAGCAACGACGTGTCTGTGGGGACCTCCCCGTGACTTGAACTCAAATACTTTATAGTTGCGAATACTCAACACAGTTTACCAAGACTGGCATGAGGTTATTTTGCTTTCTACAGTGGAAGGGGATTCCTTCTTTCAGAGGACTGGCCACCACTTCCATCCCATATCAGGTTGGCAGAGAAAATAGATTCATCACAATCATTCAATCTCAGACACAGAGGTAATACCTAGTTATGAAGAGCAACTGAAGAATAACAGAATGGAAGTTTAAAAAGAGTAACCGCACATGAAACCTGGAGATCCTGTATAACTATCCTGCATAAAACCATGAAGGACACTAGGATTTCATTTTTATTGAAAAACAACTCTACCAAAAAATTGAACCAAGGGCTCAGAAAATTCACAAAAAATATAACAACATTACTGATGCTATTCTACTAGTAATCAAAGAAATACAAACTGGAATAAGTGTCAATTGTTAAAATGTCTAAATTAGCAAAGACTATCTAACACCTATGATATCTAATGATATACTAAGTAATGGGCTTTACTCATTCACTGGTAATGGTACACACTTTCCTGGGTACAAGTGAGCAATACCTATCAACAATCGAAAAATAATAAATGTTGAATAATATCTCCATTTCCAGGAACCCCAAATAATGAAATGATGTGAAATTGACAAATTTAGCTACAAAGACATCCTCAAAAACATGACACTCCAAACAACCAAATGTCTAACAACTGGAAAATCATCGGGCAAACAATGGTTTATTGGTAATAAAATAATTCCACTCACTCATGACAGTTTTATTTTCAAAGAATATTAATAAGGAAGGAAGATGCTGATGATGTCATGTGAAATTTAAAAACAGTGTTATGTATAGTTTGGTGCCACTTTTAGGCATAGTCTCCATTTACATGCCATGCACGCACAACAGGGCAATGTTAATAATGGTTATATCACAAGTCATATAAAAGCACGCCCGCCAATAAAGAATGCGAGGAGTGCCTTACAACAATAATTCCTACAAGTGCACACCTCTTCCTGGCTTCCTGGTAAAGTACTTCCCTCTCTGAGAAAGGGCCTCTTCAGGAGAACCACTCAAGCTGTTCGCTCATGCTCGGGGACGAAGAGAGGAAAGAAAGTTGGGGCAAGAAGTTCATACTCTGTTCTGCTAAAGCGAAACAAGCCAGTCAGAGAAAGATAAGTACCACACGATCTCACTCATACGTGGAATCTAATGAACAACATAAACTGAGGAACAAAATAGATCCGGAGACATAGAAGCAAGGAACAGACTGTCGAACCTCAGAGGGAAGGCAGAGGAGGGTGGGTGGGAAGAGATCAACCAATGAAGTTGTCTGCATATATGCATAACCGGTGGACACAGACAATGGGATGGTGAGGGCCTGGGGGTGGGGGGAAGGGAGCTGGAAGGGGTTAATGGGGGGAAAGGGGGGCATATGTAATACTTTCAATACTAAAGATTAAAATAAAAAGAAGTTCACACTCTCATGGCTGAGGAAGAACCTGAGCAAAGACATGCCAAGGAATCAGGGGCTGATACACGACTATTTTAGTGAGTTTTGAACAGGAAAAAAAAGTGAAGGCATCAAAGCAAAAAGGTGAGTGGCAGAGGCCGTTAGGTGGCTCTGAATATCCGATGCTCTCTCCTCCCGCAGCAAGAGTGCCTGGGCAGAGCGCCCAGATAAGAGACTTCAGATCCTTGCCCTCCTGCCCATAAGGGGTGTGTAATTCCTGCCCAATG